ACCTTCCAGCCAATTGGGTCGTACACCCCATTATCTCCAGCCAATCAGGTATCAAGGATCGCGTTCACCCACCATCAGCCAATCAGGTGTCAAGGATCATTTCACGTTCACGCATCACCATCAGCCAATCAGGTCTCTCACCAGTATAAACACATCATCACCAGCCAATCAGATCTCACGTGCCATTAACCAGTAAAAGCTACTCGTATTTCGGCCAACCAATCACGTACCGATGACTAGTAAACGCTACACGTATTCCCACCCACCATCAGCCAATCACCAGCTTTCTCCGATTCCATTAACCAAGTAAATTAGCAGCTTTACACTACACGTTCTCATAAAGCCATCACCAGCTTCACACGTCTTCATAACTCATAAAATTCTACCTCACATCATATTCTAACTCACAACATCATATTCTACCTCACACCATATTCTACCTCACAACACCATATTCTACCTCACAACACCATATTCTACCTCACAACACCATATTCTTCCTCACAACACTATATTCTTCCTCACAACACTATGTTCTTCCTCACAACACTATATTATACCTCACACTATATTCTTCCTCACAACACTATATTCTTCCTCACAACACTATATTCTACCTCACAACACTATATTCTTCCTCACAACACTATATTCTACCTCACAACACTATATTCTACCTCAAAACACTATATTCTACCTCAAAACACTATATTCTACCTCACAACACTATATTCTACCTCACAACACTATATTCTACCTCACAACACTATATTCTACCTCACACCATATTCTACCTCACACCATATTCCACCTCACACCATATTCTACCTCACACCATATTCTACCTCACACCATATTCTACCTCACCATATTCTACCTCACACCATATTCTACCTCACACCATATTCTACCTCACACCATATTCCACCTCACAACACCATATTCCACCTCACAACACCATATTCTACCTCACCATATTCCACCTCACAACACCATATTCTACCTCACACCATATTCCACCTCACACGTCTTCACGAAACACACGTCAAAAATATCACGGGGAAGATATACAGTAGTATGAGGGAGGTCAGGCAGCCATATTTTATATTTTGTTTATTCTGTAATTTGCCCCGAGAGAGCTTGTTTATTGGGCACCCCCTAGCGTCCTTGTGAAAGAGACTTCGGGGTACTTGTACTTCGAAATAAGGCAAACAGAGAATTAGGTTTTATATCTAGAAGCGTAAGTAATAAGAATGCAGAGGTCTTATTGCAACTATATCTTGCGCTAGTCAGGCCGCACCTCGATTATGCTGTTCAGTTCTGGTGCCCTTATTATAGAATGGATATCAATTCACAAGAGTCGGTGCAGCGAAGAATGACGAAAATGATTCCGGGACTTAGAAACCTTCCATATCAGGATAGGTTAAAGAAACTTAACTTGCATTCCCTAGAAAGACGAAGAGTGCGGGGTGATATGATAGAAGTATTTAAGTGGGTGAAAGGAATCAATAAAGGGGATATAGATAAAGTTCTTATAATATCCGAGCAGGATAGGACTCGGAGCAACGGATTCAAGTTGGATGAGTTTAGGATTAGAAGGGAGATAGGAAGAAACTGGTTCACAAATATGGTAGTGGACGAGTGGAACAAGCTTAGCAACTTTGTAGTAAGTGATGGAACGCTGGAAAGTTTTAAAAGGAAGCCAGATAGAATCACGGATGATAGAGAGTGGTAGTAACTCTCGACAGGAGCTGCCAGGCACAGGCCAATAGGCCTATTGTAGACTCCATATTTTCTGATGTTCTTATCCTACAGGCAGCCATGTCACGGTACTCTTAACCCCCACCCCCTTCCCACCATCTCCCTCACCACTCTACTCATTCACATCTTATATAGTTCCTCCTCCTCTTCCTCCTAGCCTTCTTACTGTACCCCGTGATTATTCCATGATATCTCCCCCTCCCCCTACCACCTCAACCCCCTCCAACCACAACCTCCCCTACCACCTCAACTCTCTCCCACCACTATCCTCCCACCACTAGTCTTCCCCTACCACTACCCTTCTCCCTCTCACTACCCACCACCACACCACCATTTCAACCTTCGCCAGTCCTCGCGGCGTTATACCCAGATGGTGACCACCTGAGGGTATCACCTGACCTTACCTGCGGTCTTACCTCACATCTTCCGGGGTTATTCTCTACCTCTCACTCCACGCCCTTACCCTCACACCCTTACCCCTGGCCCTCACCCCACGCCCTTACCTTCATACCCTTACCCCACGCCCTCACCTCACCCCCACCCCACGCCCTAACCTCACCCTCACCAACACTTATATTAAGATTTGTTATCAAGCTTTTTAATCACCATTTTAATCAAGCATTAGAATAAACTTTATAGAGCTTTTAAATCATTTTCTTTTAATAAAACCCATAAATTAAGCTTTTAAATCAAGCCTTTTATCAAACTTTTACCTGAAAATCTAAATGACGTAAGTAATTAAGTTTGGCGTTGTTGTTTAATAGAGTATGACGACACAGGTAACCTTCTCCTGAGGTGAACCAGGTGAGCGGAGGAGTAAACAACTAATATGTCACAGCCTCAGGAGTTGTATATAGACGCCTTAAGCTGTCAGCGACCCCACCCAACACACACACACACACACACACACACCCTCCAGTGTATGTATGTACTGTATGTATGTATGTGTCCCTTCCCTTTCCCCCCTCCACTGTATGTTTCTTAAGCCGTCACATCCGTATACCCGCTCACCTATCCGCTTTCTTCTCATAGTGCAATTGGAGCCACTTGTAACCCATGACACCTCCCTCCCTCCCTAATCCACCGAGCCCTTTATCCACCACACCACACCACCCAGTCACTCCCTCGGGCTGGAAGCGACCCACGTCACCCCCACCGCTGCCTCCGACCCCAATCATACAGTCACCCACTTAGCCAGTCAGTCGTACCCCTCTCTCATCTCTCTCTCTACTAAAAATTCCTCCACTCACAGCTATAATAATTCACACCCTTTCATCCCTCACTATAAAACACAATATTTATTACAATTACCAAATAAAAAAAAAAGATTCCAAACTTGCTATCACTTTTCATCTACCAATAAAGAGAGTATGGACCCGAACCCTTAAGCCTTGTTCAATGGCCCTTGCACTGTCTAGTAGCATTCACAACACCCAACTGAATTCACATCACCCTGGCATTCACACCGTCCAATCACATCAAGTCTCGCAATTTCATTCAAACGCGAAGCAGAATTCGTTTCCAATTCGGCTTCAAATTCACTCCCCCCGGTGTTTTTATGCCGTTTATCAGCCGGGTTCGAACCTCATCCAGGAATTTTGATGACCGATCTAGATATGGAACCCGAGGTGGTGTAACACGGGAAAAAAAGTATGGTCGGGAGTGGAGAACAAGAGGGACGGGATGGGACGGAATGGGACGGAACGGGCCGGGATGGAATGGGACGGCCAATGCTGAAACAACACTATGAAACTGAATACTAAACTGCTAAACTATATTCATCAATTTATTTTCTTACCCTTCTTATTTTTAAAAACCTTTTTCAAGAACCTAACCTAACCTACCCTGACCTGACCTAACCTAACGACCATTAGGTTAGATGACGATGTTATACTACTGTAGAAAGTTAGTTCAGTTGTGTAAAATCGAAAATAAATTAGTCTTCCTCGCTGTATTTGTCTGACATTCAACATTTTGCAGGAAGCGGATCTAGTTGGCTGGGTGGACGAGGCGAGTCAGCAGTGGTGGTGGTGGTGGTGAATCAAGCCAGCAACACAAACCATGAACTGGCTTCTGAGTTCTCTACCTAACCTAACCTATGCTGACTTAAACTAACCTATGTTGACCTAGCATAACCCACGCTAACCGAACCAAACCTACCCTACCCTACCCTGACCTAACCTAACCTACGCTGACCTGACCTAATCTAATCTAACCTACCCTGACCTAACATTAACTTACCTTACTTTCCCTAACCTAACCTAACCCACCCCCTAGGCAAGGTTAGTTCCAACAATAGCAACTACTAGAGACATGCAGATAGGGGGGAGGGGGTTATAGGATTACCTGAAGAATCTCCTCCCCAGGTAGCGTTCGGGGTTCAGGCGAGGGGAGTGGGGTGGGGTGAAGGGAGTGGGGTGAGGTGGGGTGAAGGGAGTGGGGTGAAGGGGGTGGGGTGACGGGAGTGGGCTGGAGTGGAGGGAGTAGGCTAGGGTGGAGAGTAATCAGGTGGAGTAAGTTGTAATGGAGGTTTTTTGCAGGTGGAGGAAGCGGACTTGGGTAGAACTGGTCAGGTGAGATAGTTTTCAGGTGACCACAGATTTATACATTATTATGAGTATACGACTAAATTACACACACACGTAATAAAACCACAACAAAAACTGGTTTGTCCGCGAAAGTAAAAAAAAAAAAAAACTCGACGTTCCTTCCGTCTGTAAACCATGACTTGTTTTGAAGGCAAGTTTATGACTCAGCTCGAAAACAAAACAAAAAAGTAATTATAATTAACGAACAATAAAATGAATCAGGACATCGATATACATCCATAATACATAAATAAGCATCATATATACTTATACATTTACATTAATACACTAAAAACTTGAGAACACACACACACACACACACACACACAGAGCCAAGAGAGTACTCACCATAATGAACTGACGAAGAGTTGGACGGGGGCAGCTAGAGGAAAGCCGTAGTCACTGGTCAAGACTGGCTGACTATGGGTGGCTGGTGTCGTGGTGTGAGTGAGGGAAGGACACGGTTGATCTGACACTCCACGCCTTCACACCTCGCCTACTACACCAGGTATTTTTAATATAGGTGGTGTTGTTCCTGGGCGAGAGGTCACCCTTCAGTCCTCAAGGTGTAAGGAAAGTTCAAACGGTGCAGTAGTTTTTTTCGTCAACACAAAATAGTAGTTTCAATGTTTTAATGATTTTAAGTCACAATTTTCTTCTTCTTTTTTTCGTTAATTGTTCGGAATGTTTTGTGTCAATGCCTTAGACCAATCAGCAGCGTTGGATTTGGATTTAACCAATAACAACACCAAGAGGAACTTAGGTTTGACCAATCAGTAACACAGATGAACCCAATATGACCAATCAGGAACACTGTATGAGGCAGGGTCAAAAGAGTCTTACAGGTGCTTCATCAACACTGAAGCACCAGAAGAAGATAGGTCTTATTTTTCTTTACCACGTCACCAATGCACTAATTTTTTTTTCCTTCACTTTCCAACAACACTCGTAAATTTATTCTTATTTTATATTTTTTTTTCTAATCACCAACACTTCGACAAATATATTTTTGTTTAATATTTCAAACGTGTTGTATTTTTTTTTCCCAGTACTGAAAAAAATTCCAATTCAATGTTTCTATGGAATTACTGTCACATCCTGGAAAAAAAAGAAAATATTAATCCCAGAGCCTAAAAGAAACACATAAATTATATTATTCATGCATCAATATCACATCAGGACCCAAACACAGCCTCGATACTTCTCCCAGGACGATCAAGGGACCAAACAACACAGCCTAACCCAACAGTGAGGCCTCGATACTTCTCCCAGGACAATCAAGGAACTTAACCTAATCTAACCCAACAGTGACGCCTCGATACTTCTCCCAGGACGATCAAGGAACCTAACAACACAGCCTAACCGAACAGTGAAGCCTCGATACTTCTCCCAGGACAATCAAGGAACTTAACCTAATCTAACCCAACAGTGACGCCTCGATACTTCTCCCAGGACGATCAAGGAACCTAACCTAACCAAATCTTCACGAGAACCAAAACAACTTTCAGTGGAAATATATAGCCGGTCCAATGAATATATTTTCAATTAAATTAGTAAGTTTTTATCAGAGAAGAGAAAGAGAATAGGAAAGACATAAAAACAGAGATAATAAAAACAGATTCCCTTCACACACATCCCATTCTTACCCTAGGCTACAAATAAACAGGCTTACCCTCCCGCTTAGGCTAGGTTAGATTCGATTAGGCTAGATGAGGTTAGATGAGGTTAGGTTAGGTCAGGTAAGGTCAGGTTACGTTAAGTGAGAAAACACGACCCGGAACCTTTCGCCAATTTTCCCGCCAGAACCGCCCAAGATTTATGTGACCACGACGTATTATAAGAACTAATGTCCCCCATATATCCTGTAAACGGAATTGCCTTCCTTGGCCCACCACACCGCCCAGAAGCCACCCTTAGGAATTACAATATTTCCTGCCTAGAGAGAGACACACACATACATATATATATATATATATATATATATATATATATATATATATATATATATATATATATATATATATATATATATATATATATATATATATATATACATATATATATATATATACGAAGTGTACCTTTTAGTGTGTGTGTGTGGCGTTGAGGTTAGATTGCGTGCTTGTGTGTGCATGAACATGTGTGAACAAGCGCGTTATCTCATGTGCACGCCTCTAAAACTATATACACACACACTCACACAAGAAACAACTTTCACTTCCTGCTCTGACAGACCAACTAAAGATAACAATATGATAACAATATACGTACATGATAACCAAACGTAATGGAATAAAGATAACAAAATAACAACAGCCACAAGAAACTACAATCACATACACTAATACAATCAACCCTTCCCAATAACTGAACCTCAACCACTACCACCACCACACACACACACACACGAATAATAATAAAGCCGTCTCCCCAACTGCCATCCTAACCAAAAATGCTGAAGAGGCAACTAATAAAAATAATATATCGCGCGCGCGCGCGTGTGTGTGTGTGTGTGCGTGTGTGTGTGTGTGTGTGTGTGGCGTCACAGTCTACCCCGCCACCATCACTTCCCTAACGGTTCACACACACACACACACACCTACTGTAGATTCTAGTTATCTTCACTACTTGTTCTTTCTCTACTACTTATGGTTCTTCCACACTATGGTCAGGGGAGGTGAGGAGGGAGGGGAAGAAGGAGTAAGAGGAGGAGGTGAGGAAGGAGGTGAAGAAGGAGTAAGAGAAGGAGAAGGATAAAAGAGTCAAAGGACGAAGAGGAGAGAGAGAGAGAGAGAGACGCACTGTGTGATGTCTCTGATTCTCTAAAGGTTGATTTTGGTTACATCAATATTTTGGGTTTACTGATGAACAAGCAAAAAGTATTCCTCTATATTCAGGTTATGGTAGGGGAGAAGTGAACTGTATTTTGGGTGCTGTATTACTCATATTTCAGGAGAATTTGTACTGTATTTTGCGAGGAAGGGCGAGGGAGGGAGGTAGGTAGAGAGGGAGGGAGAGAGGGAGGGAGGGAGAGAGGGAGGGAGGGAGAAATTGTGTAGTTTTGTAATATTTTATGATATTTTGGAGTATGGAAGGGAGAGAGTGAGGGGAGGGGGGGGGAGGGAGAGTATAAAAAAGAGGAAAAGAGATAGAAGAAGGAAGGAAGGAAAGGATGAAGGAAATGAAGGAAGGAAGGAAGAAGACAGAGGAGATAAAACAAAATCATAAATCCCCCAAGTTGCACCAATGTTATGTTTTATGAGACCTGGGGATATAAACAGTGCATACAGGGTAGAGTGTAAGAGTCGCGTCATATTTCATCAGGACGAGAGAAAGGGGTGAAAGGGGTGAAAGGGGTGAAAGGGGGTGAAAGAGGGAGAGCCACCGTTCATCAGGGGGGAGGGAGGGAGGGATGGGGGAGGGTGGGGGAGGGTGAAGAGAGAGCCTGGGAGAGCTACAGGTTCATCAGGGAGAGGGTGGGGGAATGAAGAGGCAGATGGGGAGCAAGAGGGGGGAGCAGAGAGAGAGAGAGAGAGAGAGAGAGAGAGAGAGAGAGAGAGTATATGCAACACAAACCTCATCAAAAATATCTGACTCTGTAGGCTACGACGATGCGGCCATTCATCACCGCCTGACGAAGGGGAGAGTGGTGGTGTGGTGGGGGGGGGAGGGTTGAGGTACTGATAGTCGGGGAGCAGAGTGGAGAGGAGGGAAGGCATAGTAGAGGATAGAGGGGAGGGAAGAACGGAGGGAAGGAGGGAGGGAATAGGTAGAGGGTACTGATGGAAGGATGGAGGAAAGTTAAGATGCTGTTGGAGGGTACAAAGAGGGACTGCCGGTAGGTACTATGAGTGGAGGGAACTAAGAGAAAAGTGGAGGGCATTGTGGCTAAAGTGGAGGGGGAATGAGTGGAAGGGGAGTGAGTGGAGGGAGGGAAGAGTAGACCGTGGGGTAGAAGGAGACCCTGAGGAACGGTGAAGGGTTGAGGAGAGGTGAGGGAAAGGGGAGAGAGGGAGGGAAATGAGAGAAAGAAAAAAAGGGGGGGGGGGCAGGGGAGGGAGGGAAGGGGGCGAAAACATGGTGGAAAGGACTGAAAGAGGAGGAAGTGAAGGAGGATATGGAAGAGGGAGCAATAGAACGACAGAGCAGGAGTAAATTAGAGAGAGAGAGAGAGAGAGAGACTAACAAAAACCCCAGCCCATGTATATGAAATAACATCAAACTCACGGGATTTGATTATTTTTTTTCTTTATTATTAATATTTTTTTTTCAGTTTTTTATTATTCCAACGCCCAAAAAATTGTCGACTCTGACCAAGGGAAAAAGCGGCTTTATTTTCTCCCGACAATAAAAACTACCATCACTTACAATCCAACTCGGGGAAAACTATACTCGTATTGTTTCCCTAATGTAATTTTAAGTTTGGTTTGGCTGCAGAGATAAAATAATTCTTGGGTATATTTCTTCTCGTTTTCTCTCCTCTCTAGTAAAAATTTTAAGCAACTTTTAATTAGTGTAAGTTTTTCTTATATAGTATTATATTCTAATTTTATTTGGTGCCATTAATGTTGAGATATAATAGTTCAGGTACAGGTAAGAAACACAGGTACAAGTACAGATAAATAAATACATTATCAGTCCACTAACAAACACAACTTAGGCTAAAACAAAAAAATACCCTACTGTCATATCGTCTTAAAAACAAACACACACACACAAACAAACACACGCGAAATGATAACACTGAGATTCTCTTCACCAAAATGCCATATAATTTTAAACCATAATAAACAAACAAACAAAACAAATACTAACTCGAGGCTTCTTAGAGAGAGAGAGAGAGAGACAGAGAGAGAGAGAGAGAGAGAGAGAGAGAGATGTAAGAATTGCATTATTATGTTCCCCTAAACTTACTGAAACTTAATTTTCTCCAATCACCGGATCACCAGCACCTCCCTCATCACCACTACCCTCCATCCCCACCAACAGCCTCCATCCCCAACAACACCCTCCATCCCCACCAACAGCCTCCATCCCCACCAACAACACCTCCATCCCCAACAACACCTCCATCCCCACCAACACCCCCATCCCCACCAACAGCCCCCATCCCCACCAACAGCTTCCATCCCCACCAACACCCTCCATCCCCACCAACACCCTCCATCCCCACCAACACCCTCCATCCCCAACAACACCTCCATCCCCACCAACAGCCTCCATCCCCACCAACAGCCTCCATCCCCACCAACAGCCCATCCCAACATCTCCATCCCCACCAACAGCCTCCATCCCAACCACTCCCTCCATCCCCACTCAACACCCCTCCATCCTCACCAACAGCCCTCCATCCCCACCAACACCCTCCTCCATCCCCACCAACACCTCCATCCCCACCTTAACACCCCCTCCCATCCCCACCACAACACCTCTATCCCCACCAACACCCTCCATCCCCAACAACACCCTCCATCCCCAACAACACCCTTCATCCCTACCAACAATCTCCATCTCCACCATTTCTCCCCTTTCTGCACCAACACCCCCCAACCATCCATTCCCTCACCCCCCTACATCTCCAACACACCCCCAACACTCTCACCCCTCTCTCCTCCACCACATAACCCACTCACTGACCCGTACACACAAGGGACCAACAGTCATGTGATCGGTGGAGTGGAGAGGGAGGAGAGAGGAAGAGGAGGAAGGAGGAGGGAGGAAGAGGAGGGGAGGAGCAAGCTTAACGTATAGAGGAGGGGAGGGAGAGGAGGTGAGAGGAAGGGAAGGCAGAGGGAGGGAAGGAGAAGAGTGTGTTGTGATTGCAGTGGGACGGAAGGGGAGAGAACTTGAAGGGGGACGATGGTTGAGAAGAGGGTTGAAGTGGGTGGTGGGGGTGGGGTGGAAGAGGGTTTGAGGTAAGGGGTGGGAGGAGGAGGAGGAGGTCTGAGGTATGTTGGGGTAGGGAGGAGAGGTAGAGAAGAGAAGATAGGAATGGAACATGAGAATGGGCCAGTCAATCGTGAGTGAGGGAGGGAGTGAAGGAGAGAAGGGAGAGAGAGAGAGGGGGAGGTGATAAGGTGGTGTAGCAACAGAAGATA